ACTAATAATAATTTATTAAACTCGATATAGCATATACAAATTAAAAATTAAAAAAATCGAATCGCCGAAGAGAATACTAATGTTATTATTAATTTTAGGGTAAATTATAATAAGAAAATTAATTTACCAGTCGATATCCTGAGGGATTTCTATAAAAAGACCATTTCTTCATTATATTAGCTGTATCCTTAGACTTGATAACGTCTAGACGAATTTGCAACAGGCTTTCCAAGTCGCATCAAGTGGGTCCGATGTTAAATTGTCGAATTTGAGGGCTTGAAGGCAGGTCTCAACATCTTCTTCCGGTTCTAAAAGACGTATATCAAAATAATTAAAATGCCAAATATTAAAAGAACATTCGAATTTACCATAATCAGTTCCATGCCTCGACTTGTTACTATGTTTTTCTTCTTTTTGTTTTTTATCTTCTGAAAGATATTTGGAAACCGCTGTTTTAATGAATACCCACACCAGAGATCTCACATAGCGGAAATTGATTTGACAACACAACAAATTAACTACAATACGATAGGACTTTTATTTAGAATATTTAAAATATTGAAGAGAACACTTACCGCTCTAATGAAACTAAAGCCTCACTGAATAACTCAACCACACAGACGTTATTAAAGTGCCAAAGTAACCGATCAACATGGCGGACATTTATGCCCTAATATTTTATTCATGATATTAATAACCGCGTACATTAATATAATGTAGTGTGTTCGTTGTATTAATAATATTGTTCATTGTCACAATGTACAACTCATTAATCAATGTTTTAGTGCATTAATATAAATGAATATGTGTTTATTAAAGTTTCAGCACTAAAATAAAGAACGCGTTCATTGGAACAATGAACGCGTTCATTATATTAATGAAAATCTTACATTAATTTAATAACCAGATTTTCATTATATTGATGAAATTAGATTCATAGTATTAATAAATCGGACATCGATCTATGATTAACAAATCATTATATTAATGAAAAAAATCATTGTCCCAATGAAACAACAGTTAATAATCAATGTTCATTAATATTATGAACAATATTTTTTTCAGTGCGTGAAACATTCGAATTTGCTAACAAATCAGGCAATCAGAGCTTTTCAAACAAACGATTGAGCTGTCAATTGAGTTGAAGCAGCTGGTTTGACGAAATTGCAAAGTGTGAAACATTCGAATTTGCTAACAAATCAGACAATCAGTGCTTTTCAAACGAACCGATTTGCCGCCTATTTGACAAACGAACGTTTAGTGGTGCAATTTCAGCCGCTTAAAACGAAAGCCTTAAATTTAAATAAAAACAGATACATACATTGTATGTTAGAGAGAAAGAGATCGAGAATAAAGGGATATAGAACAATCTAATTTTTATGCATAGTAACATATTTTTTGATCTGATATTTTCGTTCCATATCCACTTCTTGGGATAAAGAATAGAGTAATTCTATTTTTTTATTACAAACTGTAGGATGTAGCCTTCAATAGTGATTTTTGGATGTAGGCCATTATATGACTTCGCGAGTTTCAAATTAATATGGATATAGTACAAAATATTAGATTTTTTTTCTTTATTTGTGAATTTGGCTATATTGTTTTTGTGGATATAGAACAAGCTAATTCTGCATAAAAAAATGGTGTATGTAACTCATTTTACCCCAAAAGTGGATATAGAACAACCTAATTCTAGGGTGACAAAGTATGTGGAAAAAATAAGAAAAAACCTGCATAGTATACACTACTATTTTACAGATATCTTTGTACACTAGAGCCGCATCTTCAAGTGTAACTCAAAATGTTTCTGATCTTTGGGTGAATCCTATATATTTTCAAAACTTGCTTTAGTCAAGTACGTGGCACAGAATCATAGGCTTTCTGGTAGTCGATGTAGCAAGTGTGAATATTTCTGTTTTCTTTCGTAGCTTGGTTGAGCTTGGTCGAAGCATGATTACTGTGTCTATGATTAATTGCTCTTTACATCCACAGCTACTTTTTCTACATCGCTTTTGTTCTTCCGTAAGAATATTATCTTTTGTTAAGTCAAATATTCTACAGATTGCAGAAGTGAAAATTTTGTAGAGTTGGGAGACAAGTTATTAGCCTATAGTTTGCTGGTTTTTCTGTTTGGTTGTTTCTACGTATAATGACAATTTTACCAATAATTTAAAAATATTATTTTCATTTTAATTTTGTATCCATCGAGCATCCTTTTGCCGGAATACAAAAAAAAATCCTAAGTTTTTGACAAGTTTTGGACAAAGTATTCGTTTGTTATTAGAGCTTCATTTATTGAAGTATTAATAAATATCTATCTAGTGGTGAATAGTGAGTAGGTATTGTTAGAATCCGTTATTAGGAGCAAGCAACTTCTAATTAAAATAGTAAAAAGTAAATAAATTAATCATTTGATTCAAAAGAGTATAAAATTATTATTTTTTAAACTGCGTATATAAGATTACGCGACTATAAATTAATATTCAAATAAATATCATTTCTATGAATTTGTCAAGTAATGATAAAAATTAGAATAAAATGTAATCTACATGTATAGAATTATTTATATCTTAGTTAATATATGGAGCGATCAAAAGTGACTGAAATAGTTGGCTATGTTGCTTTTGTTCGTTTGGTTGGCAATAAATAAGAAAAATCGAATATTTATCAAGTATTATCACTAGCGTCAAAACAAACCAAAAATTTTATAAGATGATTAATTTTTTGACGATATTTAAATACGTTTTTCACAATGATTTGAGACTAACCAAGAACAAAATGAGAAAAAATGGATTAAATCTGTAAATTTAAATAATTGTAAATTTACATGTTAAGTGTAAATGTACAAATAAGTAAATGTAAATTTACAAAAAAGTGTAAATTTACTGAAAATATGTGAATTTACAAAAAAGTGTAAATTTACAGAAAAAGTGTAAATTTACAGGATAAGTGAAAATTTACAGAAAAAGTATAAATTTACAGAAAAAGTGTAAATTTACAGAAAAAGTGTAAATATACAGAAAAAGTGTAAATTTACAGTAAATTTCAAAAATAATTAAAATTTTATTGTATATTTACAGTAAATTTACAAAAAAATGTAAAATTTTATTCTGTAAATATATATCTTCCAATGTTGGCATGGCAGCTCTACGCGTTCGTATAATGATAACACATAAATCACTATAAAACAACGCCGCGCCGCGCCGCGCGCCGGCTAGTATGCTGTATCCTAGTTAAAGATTTCAAACGCCATATTTTATTTAACCTTAAAATAAATCTAAATATATCTCACATTAGAATATGCAAACAACCTTTTCTTACTCTTTTTCTTGTATTTTTTTACTATTCCTTGTAAAATAGTATTTATCGTAATCATAACATTAAAAAACTACATAATTGAAGGATACTTCCTTAACGCTTGATAAATTACTTAACGCTGTAGCAATAGCCGTTTTTAAACCACTTAACAATTTTTTCATATTCCAAGCGGCGAAGGTTTCGACATTTACCATTAAGTTTATAATAATTTTCAAGATTTAGTTGGTTGCAATAGTACAATTTATACAATATTAAACACCGCATATTAACCTACATTACTACTACAAAGACTAATAACAGTGTATTTAATTAGTAGAATTGGTGTACTAGTGGGAAATGTAACTTATGGAGATATTTATTTCAATGTGACTTGATTATAATTCATGCCTAGTAAATAAATATCAATAATTATTCATGTTATACCTCATTAAGACCTGCGACAATATACAAGAAAATGTTTTTTTTTCTGTTATATCCGATATTGCAATGATATTATTAATAAATTATTTAAATAACTATTATTATTTCATGATCTTCCACATAAATAATATGAGAACAATAATATAACAGGACCTTAAAGAGAAAAAGTTATTCTCTGTGAAATTATTGCACCAAAAATGCATTAAAATATATCTGATTGACAGCGTGTTATCTAAAAGCAGCTTACGTTCATTTACAGTACAGTATATTAGGAATTACGATGATAAGCTAAATTTTCTGGTTAAATAAAATAAAATAAAATAAAATACTCTTTTAAACTATATTTATCTATGTTAAAAATTTAAGTATGCATTTTTATCCTATTTATAAATATGAGTAGATACAGGGTATCATATTTTTAAAAAAGCCCATAACAATGCCAATCAAATAAAATATAGGGTTTCCCATTTAAAAAAAAATTGGCACCGGGAGGCACGTATAGCCGCCCATACTAAAATATGTTAATAAAAATTTGGTAGGCAGTACTTTTAGTTTCAAAGTAAAGGAATTTTTCCAATTTTTTTTTTTAAATTCTAAATTCTAACCCCCTCCCAACTCCCACTCCCACCAAAAACTAATGGCCAGATTCTCTGGTGCCACAGTATTTTTGTGCCAAATTTGGTTAAAATCGGTTTAACGGTTTTTGAGTTATCGTGTTACAGACGGACAGACAGACACCATGAAAATATTTTGTATTTAGGTCATTTATGACCCAAATAACTCATTTTGAGTGAAATTAAAAAAACTTTTTTTTGCCGATCTTAACAGCCTACCCATTCCAACCAATACCATACCTATTGGTATGGTCGGCTAAAAAACATAAGTTTGGCTTATATTTCGAAAATTACAGCTCCAAGCGAAAAAATAGGTACGCCACTGGATTTTACGTAACAAACTCTATGGGACACAGTTTCCACCTTTTCGATAAGTTATAAGACAACCGTGATACAAAGGGTGTCGAAAAGTGCAAAAATTTCAATTCGCCTGTGTTTCTGGAACTAAGAGGGCTTGGGCAAATCTGTGGTTAGCATCTTTACTTTCATAATAATGTAGCGTGATATGAAGACCGCATCTTTTTTGTATCTCTACTCATAAAAGAGAAACCTCATAAAACACATGAAAATGGGAGACCCTGTAAATACCTCTTGTTATTGATTTTGAAATACCATATAATAAAATACACAAAATAAAGTATTTTTTAGCCTCCTGTGCCATATGGAGCATGGAATAAAACATTCAATGCTACTCAAATACACACCATCTGTCCTCAAAGAGACATTTACAGAAGATCTGAAACATTTGAAGGCGATGAAGATTGTCTTTACTTGAACGTCTACTCGCCTCAGGTAAGTTAAATATAAAAATTACAAAAATACATGAACTATTTCGTTGACTATCTACATTTTTTTTAATGTTGCAATGCAATATTATACCATATCTTTTTAGCGCAAATTAAACTCTAAAGCTTTGTTCTGAACCTCAAAATTAGTGGAATAAATGAATGGTTTCAATTAGCGTAGAAGTTTGTTTCTCTAATTTTATTGTGAACATTTAGAACGTCAAAATTAATGGTAGAAATTATACAGGGTCCGGCAATAGTGCGTCGGGCATCTGTAGCTCGTAGAATAATAAACTTAAGAATTTTGTTTAAGTGCAAATCTAAAGTATGTTCTAGGATGTCTAGGAAAATATTTTAACTTCTGTAGGGTGGCACAAAAAAGAGCGAGTGGATCGGGATGATTTTTTTTAATGGAACACCCTGTATATTATTGCATTTTTGGCTTCTTGTCAGATCACTTTACATAATCCTAAGATATGAGTAAATATATTTCGATAGTTTCAGAGATATTAATAAATAAATAAAAAATATATTATATTAGGGTTCTCAACTTGAGCATCGGCGATTCCGGGACAATTATTTTTAAGCTTTTAAATAACTGAAACAAAACATTAAATATTAGAAATTAAAATATATTATATGCAAAAAGCGATTTTTAGGTCCCGGCCAAGGCAAAACTTTCGCCGGGACAAACTTTCTGATTCCTGGTTAATTCCGGCCAAACCGGGACGATCGGGAACCCTATATTATATTCTCAGCCTTTCTAAAAAAGAATATTAAAAATACAAAAACTGTCCTGAAATCAAAACTATATCAAATATTTATTTTAGAGGGTCTGTACTTACTTTGTTATAAATATGGTAATCGTATATCATACAGGATGTTCAAAATTTTACGCCAAACTTTCTATAATATAAAATAATTTTTCTTCGTTTTTTTAAATGGAACACCCTGTATATTATTTTTTCAATAGATGGAGAATTAAAAAATGAACATTTTTGTGTTTAGAGTATTTCAAAATTTTTAACAGTTTCGCAGATATTCGCGGTTTTATATTTCATATGGCATTTTCCATAGTAAATGTTTATCAAAGCCACCCAATGATTTTTCTCTCGTATATTTTACCGTTGAGAGTAGCCATATGGAATAATGTTTATTTTTTAATTCTCCATCTAATAAAAAAATAATATATAGGGTATTCCATTTAAAAAAAAACAAAGAAAAATTACTTTATATTTTAGAAAGTTTAGCGTAGAATTTTGAGCATCCTGTATGATTTAATAGTACCATATTTATAGCAAAGTTAAGTATAGACCATTTAAAGTAAACACCTAATATAGTTTCGATTTCAGGACAGTTCTATTTGTAATATTTTCTTTTAATGAAGGTTGAAAAATATATTTTTTTTATTTATTTATTAATATCTCTAAAACTATCGAAATATATTTACTCATGTCTTAGGATTTTGTAAAGTGATCTGAAAGGAAGCCAAAAATGCAATAATTTACAGTGTGTGTTCCATTTAAAAAAAATCATCCGGATCCACTCACACTTTTTTGAGCCACCCTATAGAAGTTAAAAAATTTTCCTGAAATACATCCTTGTACATACTTTAGGCTTTAGGTTTACACTTAAACAAAATTCCCAATTTTTCTATTTTAAGAGCTACAGATGCCCGACGCACTATTGCCGGACCCTGTATATAATAAATATCAAAATATTTACTTTGTATTTTTATTTTTAGAATTTTCACAAATTATACTTCCTAACACTTTTAGAATAATTATATAATAAATTTTTCGTATACTCGCTATTTAAACCCGTGTATTTGTATATACTAGTTATTTACGATATTCTCCGATTGTGGCAGCACCGGCGGAGAATGCACCAAGCCTATAATTTAAGTAACAATTGTCGATCTAATAAAATCATTCACTTCAAAATTTGTAAATATTGATTGTGCTAAAAAGTTGTTTAGTTCTTTTTATGGTTAGTGTAGCAGTGTGTAAGCACATTTGGTTTTATATTAACGTTACCTAGTTATCTACATCAAACTAAATATCTAACCTATACCATTTAAAGGTTACTGAAATAAAAAAAAATATTTAATCGCTATTCGCTAGGTATTCAAAATATTAGTCAATTCAAATTAAATTACCATAAAAAACATTTCGAAAAACAAATCATCTTTTTTGACCTCGACAATATTTCCGTTGCAGCTTCCAAGTGAGAACGATACTCTTCTGCCAGTTATGGTATTTTTCCATGGTGGCGGCTGGTTATGTGGTGGCGGAAACACCATGTGGTATGGCCCTGACGTTCTACTCGATAGAGATGTTGTTTTGGTGGTACCGAATTACCGTTTGGGTAAGTCCACTGTTGATAAATTTAACTTTAGATACAGTACCCACCTAATATACGGGGTGGCCCAGTGTTCTGAAGAAGCTCCCTATATCTTTAGAGGTTGAGAAGAACTTTTAGAGAAATTCAATCTTCTTATAAAGCATACGAACAGTAGCAGTACAGATTTAAAAATTATGTTCACTCAATGAAAAATGATTCATTATTTCAGAGATAAAATTTCAAATTCCAAAAAAACATATACAGGGTGGTCAGCACTGCATTCCGGAAACTTGAGCAGCAACGGCATATTCTGCACATTAAAATAAGTAACAAAGTTCGTATAAATGTATGTCATAAAATGCTTAGTTTCGGAGATACAGGGTGTACAAAATTGGTGTCTGGGAGTTTTTTGACATAAGAAATTTGATTTTAATGTCAATATCACTCCTACTTGTAGATGGCGCCACCTACGTATTTTTTAACTGGTTTAAAGAGTAATAACTTTTCGTTCGTACCTGTATAAAACCACTGAATAAAAGAATATACATTTAAGATGTTTTTTACATAGAAAGATCTCTTGGTAAAAATCGTTCCGAGTAATGGTTCTCCAGATATTTGGAATCGAAATTATCAATACCTGTCATCATTGACATAAATTAAACATGTTTACTAAATAGTTATTAGACGAAATCATAAATTTGATTTTGTGTCAAAAGTTCACCAGAAACTGTTATGTCATCATTTTTTTGGCAGAAAAATGTATGATTAATTTAAAAAAATAAAAATTTCTCAAATTAATTTTCTCAATCTACTCAACGTGTTTATTTTTTGTCAATAATGGCATATATTGACTATTTCCATTCTAAATATCTTACGAACGGTTGCTCGTAGCGATTTTTACCAAAAGGCATTTTTTATGTAAAAAGTCACGGAGATGTATATTTTTTCACTCAATAGTTTTATACAGGTACGGACGAAAAGTTATTACTCTTCAAAACAGTTAAAACACATGTAGGTGGCACCCCCTACAAATGGGAGTCATATTGACATCAAACTCACATTTATCATGTCAAAAACTCCCAGACACAAATGTTCATCCAAATATTGACGTTACTTCAGAAATTATTTGAAAAAAGTCGAAATAAAAATGCAACTTCTACATCCTGTATCTCCGAAACTAGCGAACTATACGAACTTTTTTACTTATTTTTATCTGCAGAATATAGTGCCGAAGTTTCCGGAATACAGTTAGGACCACTCTGTATAACACGTGAAACGTGTATACTGATACTACAGATAGAAAATATGAAAGAAAAAAATATATACGATCGAAAAAAATCGGAGTCAAAGGCGATGTCTTCTTCTTCGCCGCCGCCGTCTCCCTTCGGATGTTGGCGATCCAACTGGCTAGGATGGTGCGTGAAACCACACCTCTGAAAATTTCAATCGATGTTCTTCCGAACCTACGACGCAGATCCTTAAGCCAAGAGTTTTGCCTTCTTTCCAATGATCTCCTGCCCTCAATTTTGCCTTCAATGACCAGTCTGAGCAGCTAGTATCGTTCACCCCTCATGATGTGAACAACGTACTGTAACTTCCTTTCCTTCACAGTTGATAGGGGCTCTTTATCTTTGCCCATTCGCCTGAACACCCCCTCATTTGTTACTCTGTCCATCCAGGATATACGCAGCATACGACGATACAAGTACATCTCAAAAGCGTTAATGCGGTTTTCCAATGTCTGATTGAGTGTCCAACTCTCAGAGCCGTAGAGAAATACTGGAAAGATGTAGCAACGCATCATACATATGCGCAATTCGAAGGTTACATCTCGGCTGGAGAAGAGGAAGCAAAAGTATGTCTGGCATGTTTGATCTTCGACAAAATTTCAGTTTTGGAGTCGCAAGGATCATTAACGTTAGCTCCTAGATATTTTATGGACAATACTTGTTCTACCACCTTGTTGTTAACTTCGAGGACAGTCTTTCTTGGTGTTTTGGAAAATACAACAAGTTTAGTTTTGTTAACATTGATGTGTAATCCGTAAAACATGCTATGTTCAACGATGCAGTCCGTCATATCCTGAAGATGTAGAATGCTGACAGCTGATATGACCGTATCATCTGCTAAGCGAATATTGTTAATTAGGGTACCATTAATTTTGATACCATCCTCAACGCTCCCTAGTGCCTCACGGAATACCGCCTCGGAGTAGATGTTGAAAAGGAGTGCTGATAATACACACCCCTGCCTGACGCCCATCCTAATTGCTAATTGCTAGAATAACTGATTAATAATGCTCAGGTCTCCCTAATCTAAACCGGTGGTTCTAAGAATCTTAATTCAATAGTTCTCTAAGAATCTCGGCAAGTTGTTGGTGCGACACACTGTCAAAAGTGACTTTCTGTAAAAAAGCACACGTTTAATTAGGCGAATATTATATCGACTTTCATGTCCCTGTATCGCTGTGTAATAACGTTCAGTCACAAGTTCAGTGTAAAAAGAGTCTCGCGCATGCCAACTCCATTCCAAATCCAAACTGTGTATCGCCATCCTGTCCTTCGCATCTGTTGTATATACGGGCAGAGTTGATACGGGTATGAATTATGCGGAGGAAAACTTTGGGAACAGGTGACATCAGGCTGATTAACCGGTGGTCATCACATTAACAAGCATTTGGTTTTTGGGTAATGGGATAAATGTGGATTTCAGCCGATCAGTGGGTATCTTGCCGGCTTTGTATATCGAATTAAACAGTTTTGTAAGTATTTTAAGGCTCCTGTCATCTGTATCGCCGACTAGCTTTAAGGTTTCCGCGTGGATCTGGTCTGGTCCTACTGCCTTGTTTTTCTTCTGAAGCTCTATAGCACGTTTGACTTCTTCCTTTGTAATAGCACGACTAGAATCATTGAGATTACTAGCTATGAGTGGTTGATCGGACGACTATAGCGAATGAGAATTGATGATAATTTTAGTGAGGTCAAGCTCTAGACGTCATTTACTTGACGAGAGTGCGGACCATCTTTATTTTTTAATGGCGCTTACTGCCAGTTCGCCAAAATTAACATCGATTCTCATTCCCCAGACGTCTTTGGCCTTGTCTGCTGTTAACGTTCATGCCTCATACAGGGTGGCCCATCGAAAACGTTCCGCAAGACATAACGGCCAGGGCAATTTTTTTTTTCAGAAAATTCAAAAACACGTCAATTTTGTTTGTGAGGGGGACAACTTTTGCCCCAAAAATGATTGCAAAATCTTCAACCCTCTAAGCGGGGGTGTCATCCTCCAATTTTTTTCAAATAGAAAGGGGGGTCAAGTGGTACCCCAATGAAAAGGACTTTCTATTCTCTATATTTTCCGGCTTCGTTTTTGAAAATCGGTCGAGTCATTGAGAAATTATAAAGGATTTAAATTTGAAAAGTTTATTTAAACATTTATCAGAGTAAATGATAAGGGTAAATTCCTTTGACCAATTTGCTGTTGTTTCTTATTATTTCTAGATGTTTACGCATTTTTTCACTTGCCACAAGGTTGAACGATCAGGTGCGGTAGTTGCTAGATAGCTGTTCTGTGACTTATGCGTTGAACTTCTTGTCAATATCGTTAAACTTTTTAACAATTATTATGGTGTAATAATCGAACTTTATTTTAAAAATAATGAATGTGGCAATCGGGTTGCGCAGATATTCAATGAACGCCATCCTGACAAACACCTTTATAGCAAAATTGTTCGCGAGTTAGTAGCAAAATTTCGCGAAACTGGTTCCGTTATGAATAAAAAGAGGCAGAGGGAAAATCCTGTAGTAAATGAAGCTATGGAGGTATTCGTATTGGGCCAAGTTGCCATGGATAGTACACTGAGTACAAGAAAATTGGCCAATGAGACCGGTGTGAATCGTACAAATGTCCAAAGGATATTAAAAAACACAAGTTCTACCCAGACAATTTTGATCGTCGCTTGCAATTTTGTGAAACTATGAGTGAACGAGTGGCGAATGATAATAATTTCCTATTTAATGTGTGTTTTTCGGATGAGTGTATTTTCTTTTTGAACGATGTAGTTAATCGGCACAACTCTCGGTACTGGGCTGAGGACAACCCCAGGGTTTTTCACGAGGTGCACACACAAAACCCTCAGAAATTGAACGTGTGGGCTGGTATTTTTGGAAATTCTATTGTAGGTCAGTTTAACGATATTGAGAAGAACTTCAACGCACAAGCCACAGAACAGCTATCTAGCAACTACCGCACCTGATCGTTAAACCTTGTGGCAAGTGAAAAAAATCTCGAATTGGTCGAACGAATTTATCCTTAATATTTACTCTGATAAATGTTTAAATAAACTTTTCAAATTTCAATCCTTCATATTTTCTCAATGACTCGACGATTTTCAAAAACGAGGCGGGGAAATATAGAGAATAGAAAGCTCTTTTCATTGCGGCGCCACTTGATCCCCCTTCCCATTTGAAAAAAGTTGAGGGATGACACCCCCGCTGAGAGGGTTGAAGATTTTGCAATCATTTTTGGGGCAAAAGTTGTCCCCCTCACAAACAAAATTGACGTGTTTTTGGATTTTTTGAAAAAAAGAATACCCTGGCCGTTATGCCTTGCGGAACGTTTTCGATAGGCCACCCTGTATATATTTCTTAGCGTTTGATGCATGTTTTAGCATTGAATAATGAAAAGGTCTTAACTGCATCACTCTATAAGTCGTAAAAATAAGAATATCTATTGGCTATTAAAAATAGATTGTGCTGTGAGTTACATATAATTATTCTTTGTAAACTATGAATTATACTACAAGGTTTATACTAATTAGAATGCTGAGGAGTCTTAGCAGACTCTTTTCATCACCATTATAGAAAAAAAATCTTAAAAACAATTAAGGATATACATTCTACCGGTCATTAATATATTTATAATTAGTTTTGCTAATTTAGTATAATTGCATACCTATAACTTTATTTTTTCACATAAAAAACAAGATTTGTAAAGTGTTAAAAGAAAAGTTAAAAATATGACAT